TGAACACTGTATGTTTTGCTAAATTCGGATGACAATAACATTATAATATAGTCACAGTTTTCGGTTGATTCGCGTGTTATACGAATGCCTTTAAATATTACGCTAGGTACCTTGTCGTGGAGAACTTATTAGACATGTTCGGACCACCTTGCGTCCTAATCTTAGTCATAATGAAATGTACTACGATATATCCTTTTTACGATTGCGAGACCTATACTCTTCATGACGGGGCTTTTCATCGACATTGGAAATCACAATCACTGCTCTAATACATACATTTGTATATATATTAAAACATTTTTGCAACTCATATAATTTTTCGAGCTACACTGAGTGTCTTCAACGCACTGCTGGAACACTTCATCTCTAGCTACACTACCTATTTCGTCTACTATTATTGTAGAAGGAGCATTAAAAGTTGTACTTCATAGAATTTGTAATTTTAATATCGCAAATTGCTTTACAGTTAACTACGTATAAGATAAGACTACAAAATAGAGTAAAAACTAGATATACCCACATATTTATCAAGAAAATTACAGATAATACTGCAGGGATACCGTGACAAAAACATTGAACAATAGGTCATGTCGCAAATGTATATATACGTATAAAAGTAAACTTTGCTTAATTCACATCCTGAACATTAAAAAGAACGCAACCGAATGCCAGCAAAACCTACATACACATATGAGGGTAGGTACATTTAAGTAATTGTTTGTGGAACTACGATATCCTGAGGGAATTACTTACTTTCGTATCCATCTCGAAAATTCAACCATATATTATCGTGAACTCTATTAGGTACTTCAACTGCAATTAATTGGAATTGTTATACAGTTAGTCTTGGAAAAATATGTATACGTATTTGTACCAAAAAAGGAATATAAAAGTTAAATGTGGAACAATAATTACTTTCTACGGTAGTCGATAGTTGGATTATAAGAATAGATCGAACACAATTGTAGGAGATTTGCCTGTATGCATTGTGCCGTTGTCAACTTAAACTTACTTTACGTAAAGTGTATATGGTGTAGCAAACAGTCACTTTTACTGCTATGAATTTTTATTGGACGGTGACTGTTATAGATACCGTATATATAAATGGTGTTTCTGAAATGAGTAGCAAACTTGCAGGAGGGGGTAAGGCACAATAAAACAAGAAACTAATGTCAATGCTCGTATGTACGAAAGTCCGCCGGTTTTAAGAAAAACATAGTTCAAACTGCAGACAAATGTAATTCCGGCCTTGAAAAAAAAATGCGCCAATGCAACGCCGTATTCAATCCGCTAGCAGTTAGCATCATCCGTGTATTTCTTCTGTATCTTTACACTCATGCATTGTTTATTTTGCTAGATTAGAGTAAGTGTGATTGACGATTTCCTCTTGTGAGTAGTCCTTTGTTCTTTTAATGTTGTAGACTTATATGTATGTAGTTAGTCGAATTAACAGTAAGTCACTGTGTCACTGGCATAGTTCAGTGTAAAACAGTAGTTGCTACAATAGCGTTCAGTAATACTTTGTCATATGATACTAATTTAATACGAATACTTCCTCATCAGCAAACCGTTTTGCTATAGAGAGATTAAGAGAAACCGACAATAATTTCGAACAATCTTTTTAGGATACTTGCGTATATGTGCGTTTACTGGTGTTGCATCATAAATTTTTTCTAATAGGAGAATGAAGCTATTGGCAAACCACCCATAAAAAAAGATAACGTACCTTGACAATACCTCAATGGTGATTTGGAAACTTACCTTACAATTAATAATAATTACCTATCCGGAGAATATTAATTTACCTATTAATGTTTACGTAACGTTAATGTTATCTTTTATGTTCTTAATAGGTACCATGTTGTTATTTAATTATTTTTTTATCGTATAATAGAGGTCTAAACATTATTGCGTGCAGTAGCGTGTTAGTAGGCTATTGATATTTATATTATTAGTCGTTGCACAACCTGCACTGTTTACATACTCCATCAGTATGGATGCTTAGCTGTTATCGCAACTCGCTATACTAATATCTATGTTGCCAATTCTCGCTATGCTATTCCCTACTACATCTAGTTAGCACCCTCTAAAACTCTCCCCAGGTTCGCTAACTTTTGCTACTTGCTAATCTGACACTGGTAACCGGAGGACTTGAGAAAGATACCTACCATGAAACGAAGCAAATGTGGTTTTTAATGTATTTATTTGGGAAAACTTCAAAACCGTGTTTTATTCATAACGTTCACCTTTAGTTTTGTATGCTTACCTGAACCTCGCGGCATAACAGAAAAAGTATATTTGCGAAGAGTCTACATACACAGACACATATATTACATATCTAGGCGAATTTCTCTTCTATATCAAAGTTGTGCCTCCGGCAACCAAAACTACAAAGCAATTCAACAAACGTCAGGGCTCTTGCCAGCACTTAAATAAGAGTAAATAAGTATAGGTACATATGTTCCCTCGGGAAAGTGGCACTGCTTGTGACGTACATATGTGTATTCGACCATCCTCCTGCACTTACGTCGTGTATTTTATTAGGACAACCTCATTATGTGGCTTCATTATCCAAAACTATATAAGTACGGAACACAGCTCTCAGAGCGACATGACCTCGATAACCATCCACACATGTGCATGCACCTAGATTCAAACATACGTACAATTATTAGCATACATACATATGTACACCCAAAGGTAAGTATCTAAATACTGTAACAGTATGCTTCCAAGTATAAATATAAGTGCTAATTTCAAACGTGAATCGCCATTTTGAATTTATTACTTCCCAATACCTCATCGGAAGTAACTCCGATTTGAAGTTCTGACCCAGTCAATACCTATTTTTAAGTTTTAAGTTACCACAATATGTTATATTCAATTTGCCATATTTATAAATAAAACTTTAGTAATCAGATAAATCGGACTTGGACTTACCCCTAGTAGAATTACTTCAGCAATTAATTTTTTCCGATGGAACTCCTCACTGTTCTGAAATAGAAATAAAATACATATGTGTAAAGATAGTATGAAATAAAGTACATACAATGGTAGGAAATGTGTGAAATAGATTTGTAACAAAAAACAATTCTAGAAGAAAAAGTGGAGATTGAAAGGTGAAAAAGAAAACACATAATTCTATAACCTTGAAACTTCTTTTCTTGCGAGAACAAACTTTGTTGTTGAGCAAATTGAAAAATAATTCTTGAACTTTTAGATCAATTCTTTATCACAAGCTTGGTTTTTATGGCTATTTGTTGTGTATAAATGTTAATATGTCGGACCTTTAGGTAAAAATTATTTTAACAATTGGTAAAAAGAAGCTCAGAGACAGATGCCCGAACTTTTATTCATTAGGACAATATGAACACTGTATGTTTTGCTAAATTCGGATGACAATAACATTATAATATAGTCACAGTTTTCGGTTGATTCGCGTGTTATACGAATGCCTTTAAATATTACGCTAGGTACCTTGTCGTGGAGAACTTATTAGACATGTTCGGACCACCTTGCGTCCTAATCTTAGTCATAATGAAATGTACTACGATATATCCTTTTTACGATTGCGAGACCTATACTCTTCATGACGGGGCTTTTCATCGACATTGGAAATCACAATCACTGCTCTAATACATACATTTGTATATATATTAAAACATTTTTGCAACTCATATAATTTTTCGAGCTACACTGAGTGTCTTCAACGCACTGCTGGAACACTTCATCTCTAGCTACACTACCTATTTCGTCTACTATTATTGTAGAAGGAGCATTAAAAGTTGTACTTCATAGAATTTGTAATTTTAATATCGCAAATTGCTTTACAGTTAACTACGTATAAGATAAGACTACAAAATAGAGTAAAAACTAGATATACCCACATATTTATCAAGAAAATTACAGATAATACTGCAGGGATACCGTGACAAAAACATTGAACAATAGGTCATGTCGCAAATGTATATATACGTATAAAAGTAAACTTTGCTTAATTCACATCCTGAACATTAAAAAGAACGCAACCGAATGCCAGCAAAACCTACATACACATATGAGGGTAGGTACATTTAAGTAATTGTTTGTGGAACTACGATATCCTGAGGGAATTACTTACTTTCGTATCCATCTCGAAAATTCAACCATATATTATCGTGAACTCTATTAGGTACTTCAACTGCAATTAATTGGAATTGTTATACAGTTAGTCTTGGAAAAATATGTATACGTATTTGTACCAAAAAAGGAATATAAAAGTTAAATGTGGAACAATAATTACTTTCTACGGTAGTCGATAGTTGGATTATAAGAATAGATCGAACACAATTGTAGGAGATTTGCCTGTATGCATTGTGCCGTTGTCAACTTAAACTTACTTTACGTAAAGTGTATATGGTGTAGCAAACAGTCACTTTTACTGCTATGAATTTTTATTGGACGGTGACTGTTATAGATACCGTATATATAAATGGTGTTTCTGAAATGAGTAGCAAACTTGCAGGAGGGGGTAAGGCACAATAAAACAAGAAACTAATGTCAATGCTCGTATGTACGAAAGTCCGCCGGTTTTAAGAAAAACATAGTTCAAACTGCAGACAAATGTAATTCCGGCCTTGAAAAAAAAATGCGCCAATGCAACGCCGTATTCAATCCGCTAGCAGTTAGCATCATCCGTGTATTTCTTCTGTATCTTTACACTCATGCATTGTTTATTTTGCTAGATTAGAGTAAGTGTGATTGACGATTTCCTGTTGTGAGTAGTCTTTTGTTCTTTTAATGTTGTAGGCTTANTTCGTATGGTATGTCAGTATCTATTTGAGATTTAGAAAAAATGTCTGTAACATGTGAAGGTGATTTGTACCGTATCACCTTGTACTTATTGAAACTAATGAACGTACTTCCTTTCGCGCATTTTTTTGATAGGAAATTATACTGTTTGTGATGCATCGATTTCACTTCTGACACGTTATTAAGGTTCAGTTTCATTATTTTTTCAGCATGAACCCCATCCAACTGACGCGGCGAACGCCTGAATAAAGCGAAAAGGAGAAAGAAGAACTTCACATCAACCCTAACACGGCCTGTTAACGTAATGAGTTTGTTACGAAACCATTCTGGTAAGTTATTTTCTCAGTCATTTACAAACTGATACGCCAACAAAATGCCAACATGTTGTGTTCTTTGTTTCTTCTGTCCTGCATTTGTGTAGGTAATATTAACACACGAGAGTTGATGACAACGTTTTTCTCTGTTCTCCTGTTCAAGTTCATTTTTATGATTATTATACTGTGTTAACAACAATTACTTTTCGAATTCTTAGACAGTTTCTCCGAATTGATTCAGAAAAATGCAACATGCATAAAATTATTTCCATAATTTGAATATCTACGTTTGTATCCGAGAAAGTAAAGGTTCGATACGATTATAATTATATAAAGCGATTTATGAACAGAAAAGGCGACTGAGCTTTTGTTTTTTAAAATATAGAAAATACCACGAATGGCGCGGTAAACGCCATCTGTAGTACGATGCTACATTTTAGGATTACGTATGCTCCAACAAGGTCCATTTAAATATATGGATATCTACTTGCTGAAACGAATCCCGGCGTAGCTAACCTCAACGT